GACTTCGTTCAGACCTGACGGGGGGTGCATTCTTGCCGATCAATAACAAGGATATTAAGCAATTCGCACGTTTGCATATGCACTTATAACAGTTTAGATTTAAATAATCAACTTCGAAATCGAGGGCCCATCGCCCGTTCCCCTTTAACAGAAAACATTTGCCGATCACGCGAGTCTCTTACTTTTCACAATTCATGATGATCTAGTTACACTAATCACTGATTATGTCGAGTTAAAAGAAAGTGGGGCGTTCAGTATGAAGGTTGTACTTGTGTTTCAATTAGCGATTCAGCATACCAAACGTCAGGATCAGTGCACAGTTCTAATTATGATGCGTAGATTAGAAGTGCACTGCGGCTTGTGAGCAGATAACCACTGGCGATGGTGTGTGCGAAACGTACTCGCACTCCGCCATGGTGTGCTTCACCCCTGGCCTCATCGATCGTAGAGACAATTGACAACTTCGGTGGTTTTTAGACCTTGAATGCCTCAGTTCAATTTAGCTGGCAAGGCTACGTAAGGGACGGGTAAGTTGACATGGGAGAGAGCTTTAACACCTACGCCCCCTGGGCCTGCCATAACGTGTGATTTTTGCCTCGATCCGTGACCTCGACGGCCTCAAAACGGCCCAGATTTCCTGTCTGCGCGGTATGCGTCACCAACCCCGAGCTCACGTCGAACCTCCGAACGGCCAGCGGTTATTCGTGCATCCTAATTCTTTGTTCACCTCTACCCTCATGTCGCATCAGAAAACCAACTTGCTGCTAAGGGAGGAGCAAAGAGCGGTCAACGATATAAAATTAGTTATTCCGCCTGCTTGCAAAGGATGGTTCCTCGTTCTCTTCGAGGAGATAGGATACAAAACTCTGGTACTCCTGGACCATCGGCAATCCCTTTGGGATCAACAGTGCCGCTATCAGCATAAATACGCAAAAACCGATTTTTCCAGATGCTTACACAAACGTCCCTTACTTTAGACAGTCCCTGGAAAAATAAAGACAGGTACCACTGAAATGAGGGGAAAAACTGGTTCCTCTTATTTCACGTGTACAACAATAACCTTCGAAACCGAAACACTCAGTCACCTGCTGTTTGAAAGTCAAGAATGAGAACAACGTTCGTTTCCCATAATGAGACAATATGCGAGTTTTGTTAGTCGACCTTCCGGATTACTACTGAGCTGCCCCCTAAAATGTTAACATGCTTACAGACACAACTCTGATATGTTACGCTGGCAACACCTCTGATCTGACTGTCCAGGACAAGGATTACCGCACAGAATGGATGACCTCAATCTATTTTAAGCAACGACTCATGCAACTGAAAAGGTAGTAACAACTTCTGTTTGTATACATCCTTGTCTGAGGTCAACTGGACGACAAACTAGCAAACATAACAAATGGGAAATCAAGAACACAGCAAGTACTCAGTTATGGCAAAAATCAACCCCTTCAACACAAACGAAGCTGGGTGCGCACGCTATACCAGTGAAGTGAAATTCAAAGCGGCATACTGTTCGATCAGTGTGAACGTCAGCCTTTGGGACCCTTTTATAATCAATAAACATTCATGAATATAAGGTTAAGGCTGAGTTCAACCAGCACCAATCCTTAGGGAGCATTCTGCAGGCCAAAAGTGCCTTAATGTTCGTGAACAGAGTCGAAATTGCTACGCGAAACGTCAAGACACAGATAAACTCCTCTGTTGATATGCGCTACCTGGAAATCGCACTCTGGTTACTATTGATCATGTTGAACTTTTTGTAGTTTAATATTCGAGAGTTCCGAATCACGTGAGTGCATGAAAATGGAAGGAAATAAAAGTGATCTTGGGAGCAGTAACCACGGTCACCCTGGTGTTTAGAATCATGAGACAAGACAGACAAACAAAGCAACAGAAAATAATGGTAAACGCACGGAGCATTAGGGGGGGGG